TCAAACCCTCAAGCGTACGAAAATCTTTAAAACTCAAGGACAATGGGTGGCTTACACTAAAGGGTTTGACCCCGCCTCGGGTCCTTCTACAGTACCATTTGAGGACGAAGAAAAAGCTGAAGAAGACGTCCCATTACTCTCGCATCCACCATCAATTAGGACATCTTCCTCTTCTACCCGACGATTCACTTTTACCGAGGATCAGTATAATTTACTCACCGAGCGTCTCGACTCTCTCACGACGTCGGTTGATGGGCTTAGTGGTGTTCTTCAGAATGTCCAATCACAGCAGGCCGCGATCCAGGCTCAGCAGGATGCCATTCTTGCACAGTAAGCTGAAATGCAAGCTCAGCAGAATGCGTTCTATACTCACTTTTACGCACATTTTCCACCACCTCCTCCGGCGCCTTAGTTTTTGGTTTTATTATTTACCTTATGCATCTTTTTAGTGTACTCCCGAACTCATTATGACTTTATCTTTTGACGTTTTGGTTATGATATTATGAACTTATGTTACTTCTCATATTTGTCATTTTTTTGATTATGCCAAAAGGGGGAAAACTATTATGAGATGATATACATGATGTGTCAATTATGAGATGACTTACCTGATTTGTCAATTATGAGATGATATACATAATTTATCAATTATGAGATGGTATACATGATCAATCAATTATGAGAATACATGATTTATTATGATGAGACGATATGCATGATAGGAATGCTTGAGTAAGGGGGAATACACGTATAAAAGACAGGGGGAATTATTTCGTTATTTTTATCTCCATCATCTCATGTTTGTCATAATCAAAAAGGGGGAAATTGTTGGCCTACGGTTGACTTCTCGTTTTGATTATAATAAACATATTTTATTTAACAAAGTGATTATAGAAGTTTACGACAAGCGGAGCTTTTGCAAGTTTGGACAAAGTGGAAATCAAGCTACATATCAAGACTACGATCACTTCAAAAAGAAATTAGAAGAAAATATATTTAGACACCTTGATTTCAAATGTTAAGGTAAAACACTTTAGTATTTGGCATATACGTCATTTGAAGCTCAAGCAATGTTTCTTCGCACGACAAACACGATTTTTACATAAAGAAAAGCACGAACCTATTACATACTTTTAGACATGTCAAAAAGTCCGTAAAACATGTTACAAACATCCTTCATGAATTTACATTTTGCTACATCATTTAAAGAAGGAAAAATCCAAAAATATGCTCATCAAGAGGACGCATCCGGTAGTTCTAGCGGACGAGTCCGGTAATTCTAGCGAACGTCCGGCATGACAGGTTTGTCCAACGGTCAAGAAATCGAACGTTCTAACTGCTGAAAAAAAACGGTTAGTTGACCGTCCGGTACGATAGCGGACGTCCGATAGCTTCGTCCGGTAGAACAGAACCTTTGGCCGTTTTTGTTGCTATAAACATTAGATCACTTTGCATTCAATATGAGACTTTATATGAGCATTTAAAGTGAGATATCAGTAATCTATCACCTATATACATCTATTTCTTCAATCTATTTATTAGAAAAACATTTGATTGATCCAACTTTTGAAAATCATTCTTATCAAAGTGTTTTTCTTTTCTAACACTTGAGCTTCAATCATTGCTATCTACTAAAGTGTTAGCCATCTTCTCTTGTTGTATTCAACTTCAATTATATCATTTATTGCAAGAGAAGTCTTCACTTGTATACTCCTTATCTTTCAAACTTTTGGGTCAAGTTGAAGTCCCGAAAATTTCAACATTGTAAAGGAACGATACTCCTTATTTGTAAGTCACCGAAAGCGTTGTAAGAAGGTTGGATTGCACCATAAGTCAATCAATATAGTGAAAAAGGCCTTGCTCGTGACGGAGAGCATGGTAACGGGGGACGTAGATCGTGATTGGATCGAACCTCCTTATTACATCGTTTGCACTCTCTTTTCCCTTCCTCTTATTACTTTTGTGTTATCTTGTTTATTAATAGTTATTTGTTTAAATTTGCGCTTATTTTCGAAAAAGGATCGAAAAACCAATTCACCCCTCTCTTGGTTACTTGTTCTTGGGCTTTCAAGGTTTTCAATTAAAATAGGAATATTAACCAACAAGCATGATTTCAAATTGTCAATTTAAATTGTCGAACTAAAAATGGAGTAGCAAGGGGGATTCCACATCTTAGCAATACTTCTCGCAAATTTGATAAACTTTTACTTGCTTTCTATTTAGTTGATAGATTTAATAGTGTTAGTTACAACTCGATCTTACTATTCGATTAAGGGAATTATTAGCTTTAACTCGATCAAACACATAGTCCTTGTGGGTTCGATACTCCACACATCACTTTATTACTTGTTCACGATCCCATTCACTTGCGGGTAATCAGTCGATCACTCCTCTTCTTCACTACTTTGTATAGCCAATAGGTAACTGTTAGCAGTAATAACAACCCGATGCTCGTACTTAAACCTACACAGAGAGATGTCATATTAGGCAAATTCATGCACTGGTAGCTGTTTGACAACTCTAAGACTTCTAAGCATTCATTAGGTGTATGAGAAACTAACCGGATAAATTGTCAACTAAAAAAAATCGCTGCTGTGAGTATCCCTTTCTCTTTTCTATAATCACTATATTAAACTTCATTTTCCCTCATTTTCTTGACTTCAAGTCAAATTAGGCTTTTGTTTAGTTTGTCTCTTAAGCCTTCAGGCATCGTTCAACTATATAGAACATTTGTTTGATTTCGTATGGACATAGGTCACTGTACTTGTTGGTTCCTTCATCCAATGAACTGATCAGTGTTTTTTTTTAATATTAATAAAATAAAGGAAAAGTATCCTATATGATTCCGAGTTTTCTTCGACTTATGTATTAACTCTTGATTAGATAAATAATGGTTTGAACTTGACATAAAAACCCTGTTCATCAAATCTGTCTCAAATGCAAATTTCAAAAAAAGAAGGAACAAAATATCTTTTTTCAAAATATTTCTGTACTCATCTTAAGTTTAATGATTTAAAGGTATTAGTAAAGTTGCAACGATTTCCCTTCATCCCTGGTTCTCAACAATGCTTCAAATGAAAAGTTTTTACTTTTGATTGAATGTAATGAACATGATCCAAAGTAACATGAGTAAATTTACAGGGGTAACAGTATGTTTATAACCTGTGAGCAGTGAGCACTGATGCTTTATTTGAACGCTGGCCACAGGGACGGACCCACATGGGATCATGTGGGGTCAAATGACCCCAAAAAATTTTGCCCCTTTTTTTTTTTTTTACAATCTACTTTGATGCACTCATCGGGATGCCAAATGAAATCAAAATATTGCATTCTTAATACCATTTCGAAGTGCTCATGGCCTAATTCTTCACTCATTAATGGCATGCGAAATGGTCAACTATAGCAAAAGTTATGACATGTTAAAGTAGGGCGTTTATAACTAGTATTTTGAGAATTTTGAAAATATCCTAACTTTAAAAATTCGTTTGCAATCATTTGCTATCTGAATCCACAAATCGTCTATGTCATGTAAATGTTTGTTTCGAAAACTACATCGTCTTCATATCGAATGATCCAAACAGATATCGAAAATAGTTAAATATGTATCAAACGTACGCCTCAAAAAACGTCTAACTCATTTTTTCTTTTAAAAAAATTCAATTAATTATTATTTTTACACGATAAATTTTTTAATATAATTTATATTATTTCATTCGGAAGTCTTACATGAAATATGATGTAAATTTCTTAGGATCGTTACGGATTAAATGCAATTTGAATTACTTTCGAATTATATTTACTTTAAATTTGAAATTCATTTACTTCCTGAATTAAATTTGAATTTTATTTCAATTCATTTAATTTCTATATTCAATTTAATTTATTCAATGTTAGCTCAACATTTGCCAATGAAATGATAAACAAACTATACAAGCAGCAAAATTTATTTAATAATATTAATAATGATGTAATTATACAACGTTTTCAAAGTGTCAAAATACATATAAACTTATTTTTATTGATATTATGTTGTTTATTAAAAAATTATTTTTAAATTTTTGACCCCACAATACTAATGGTCTGGGTCCGCCCCTGGTGAGCACTGATGCTTTATTTGAACGCTGGCCATAGGGGCAGACCCACATGGGGTCATGTGGGGTCAAATGAACCCACAAAATTTTGGCCCCATTTTTTTTTTTTTTTACAATCTACTTTGATGCACTCGTCGGGATGCCAAATAAAATCTAAATATTGCATTCTTAATACCATTTTAAAGTGCTCGTGACCTAATTTTTCACTCATTAATGGCATGCGAAATGGTCAACTATAGCAAAAGTTATGGCATGTTAAAATAGGGCGTTTATAACTAGTATTTTGAGAATTTCGATAATATCCTAACTTTAGAAATTCGTTTGCAATCATGTGCTATCTGAATCCACAAATCGTCTATGTCATGTAAATGTTTGTTTCGAAAATTACATCGTTTTCATGTCTAATGATCCAAACGGATATCGAAAATAATTAAATATGTATCAAACGTACGCCTCAAAAAATGTCTAACTCGTTTTTTCTTTTAAAAAAATTCAATTAATTATTATTTTTACACGATAAATTTTTTAATATAATTTATATTGTTTCATTCGGAAGTCTTACATGAATTATGATGTAAATTTTTTAGGATCGTTACGGATTAAATACAATTTGAATTACTTTCGAATTATATTTACTTTAAATTTGAATTTTATTTACTTCCTGAGCTAAACTTGAATTTTATTTCAATTCATTTAATTTTTATATTCAATTTAATTTATTCAATGTTAGCTCAACATTTGCCAATGAAATGATAAACAAACTATACAAGTAGCAAAATTTATTTAATAATATTAATAATGATGTAATTATACGACGTTTTCAAAGTGTCAAAATACATATAAACTTATTTTTATTAATATTATGTTGTTTATTAAAACAATTATTTTTAAATTTTTGAACCTACAATACTAATGGTCTGGGTCCGCCCTTGGCTGGCCAATGCAACCAGAACCAAATTTGCTGCCATCACCAAAATAACCGTGCTGGCAAGAACACTTATAACCACCTGGAGTATTGGTGCAGATTCCATATGGATGACACGGATTGTTCTCGCATTCATTGATGTCTGAAACGTAGTAGAGCGAAAAGAGTCATGGCTGAGCCAAAGGAAATTAAAATTGTTCTTATTGCTCTTCGATAATTCATTTTTTGTTTATCTATAGACAGCTTCTTTGATAAGCTAGATTTAACACTAACTGACAATACGAACCAAAAAAAAAGTAAATTTTTTTGTCCATCGTGGAGTAATGTCCAATAATATGTACTAAATATGCTCAGAGTGCTCAAACAGACATTAACTAACCTTGGCAACCTGGTCTGAGATATGGATTTCCCTTGTATCCCTTGGAGCAGTTGCAGTGATATCCTCCAAGACCAGTATCAGAATCAACACAGATGCTATTTTCCTGACAAGCAAATAGACTGGATTTCTGAGCTTCAGCACATGTTTGATTCCCAATCACCCAGTCAAATACCATCGGAACAGTTTCTACAATTCTGTGTTCAAAATTGGAATCAGAGACATCAGATGGATGAAACCTATATCTGCACTGTTCTCCAAGAAAGGAATAGCCACAGCGGTTGAAGGACGAGACCTTTGTGTGATTTCCATAGCTGTTCAGGAAATTAATGTAATTCTTTAGGCCCTTGGGAATGGAGTTTTGGCAACAGCCAATTCCAGAACAAGATCCATCACTCAAGTCACTGCTCTTTGAACATATGGCAGCACATGAACTGATTAAGTTATCGGTTGCCACTTTTGCCATATAGGAAACATCATCACATCCCACAACTATGAATTTATTTTCGTTTGAAAAATTGAAAGGGGAGGTTTCATCTATACCATATACGGTTGGACATTCACGAGTTATACCACCAGTCTGATTGTAGCATCTGTAAGCTATCCCATTGCTTTTGACACGGATTTTGGTTTCTGATATGTCGATAATCTCTCCATTAGTTCTGCTGAGGAAGGGTTTTGGAGGGTTAAAAGATTTAGAACAGTTGATGTCATACCATGGGCCTATGGAACATCCAGCATCTAAACCAATACCAAATGGGTATGGAACGGAAATATTCCCACACTTGGTGGGGCAGCCGGGTAGCGCGATTGTGCTGTTGTTGATGGTCTGTTTTGATATGGAAAAGCTAAATGGAAGCCATAAGATTAGAAGAATGCAAGCCTTTTGCTGCATATTGCAGGCTGATACAATAATATTTTCACAATTATTAAGAATGCTTGATCAACTGATAAAGAAGATGAGCCAAAAACTCTCTGGTTAAGTAATAAGTAGTACATAAGTTTCATCCACCAGATAAGTCAGATTATATCATGAACAAGGAGTTGCGCGTTGAAACTTAGAAAAATAATTTCCATTTGTTAAGGTCATCACAACGTTAAATTTTTTAACAGGGAATAATTGAGTTGAATAAGTCATATTTTTTAGGACGGCATGTATAATATGCATTCCGATACTATTGATTAATTAAGATAAATAAATGATCCTAAGTTCTTGAATTCAACATAGCTGCCTAAAATTATTTTACATCCGACAATATATAATTCTATCTTCTGGGATTTGAATTTCAATTGCCCTATAAGCCAACCAAATGGATCCAGGTCATAGCTTTTTTTTAAGGTAGCAGAAATTAACTTTTTTTAAGAATTTTTTTTTATTTTTTTTTTCGAAACAGATTTCTTCTTATTTAAGGGTCCACGAAATGTTTATTTATCAACGTTAAAAATAGTCTTTATATCTAAGTGGAGTTCATCTAACCCAATTAAAGGTCAACGACCAATTCAACATTCATATCCGTTGTTCTTACGTACCCATCTTAGTGTTCTCTATCATATATATACAAGTATTTAATATTTAGGCGTGTTTGATATACGTAAATGGAAATTATTAATAAATAATTTAATATTTTTTAGCACTTTAGTCTACTACATTGTGGTTGAAAACGCGGTAACTCATCCAACTTATTATTTTTCTGTAGTTGAAAATTGAAGTTTTGTTTTTTGTTTCAGTTTGAGTGGTCTATTCGCTTTCGTCACTGAAACTTATGTTAATTAAAATTCAACACTGAGGATGGAAAATTGGAAATGTCATTTTGTATAGTTAGAATGATGTATTTGATTGCAAGATGTACAAAACCGGGATTTATTAATGCCTAGTTTTGAAAACGCGAGGTTATTTACTAGTTCAATCTGCAACACTATTTTAAGGTAGGGCCATTTTATTTTCTTCCTACCTTGAATCTGAATAAAAATTTTCTGAGAGAAACTACTAGGATCCTAGATTAAATGAAAGCTTCTTTGAAATGGGATTTGGGAATTAGTTGCCAAGTCCACAGCTTAAGTTTGATAATATTGTGACAGATTTCAGTTTGTTTATGACTGATCAGGTTGAAAATCATGGATTTTTCCCCTTTCTCGAGCTCGTTTCTCGGAAATCTCTCAATTTTTCCATTACCAATACTTGGGACTTGTTAAACTGTAGGATTCCATTTTAAAATGTCAACCTTATTAAGAGCTCGTTTGGCATGGCTTTTGAAAAGCCAAAAGGAGCTTTTGAGGTTCAAAAGCTGCTTTTGGACCCGTTTGATTGATTTTGTTAAAGTGCGTTTGATGGTTAGAAGAGCTTTTCGACGAAGTCGGTTCAATGTGGCTTCCTCTAAAAGCACTTCCAGAATAGAAAATGCTTTTAAATATTAGTTTTCAAAAAAAAATTAAAATAACTTCCTCCAAAAACTCTTCTACAAAAAGCAAAAGCGATGCCAAACAAGTCCTAAGAAGAGTAGCCCAAAGCTTTATAAGTTGAATGATGGCTCTGATACCGTGTTAAGATTTGAGGTTCCATCTTAATAGGTCAACCTTTTTAAGAGGAGTAACCCAAAACTTCTCTTTTTCTTCTTAAATTGCATTTCTTTATGTTATAAGTTTCAACAAGATTTTGAAGACCTGGCAATAACAAACATCATTGTTACAGCGCAAAATGGCATGTCATCATTTCGAGATTTACCACTAATTTTACCACTTTTTTCTACCAGAACCATGCATTATCTGGGAAATGTAAAAGGGCAGATTTAGCTTTTGTATACGATGCACCATTGGCTTCCCTACGAATAGAGACGCTCCATTGTGGCTTAGAATAGCGCCTTCTGGAGCGTCGTGGATAGAGGATCTTTTTACTGCTTCTACCGCGGAGCTTCAATCAAAAAATGGCCATGTACACAGATTTCTTCAGGAAAATGAATTGAATATTTTGGACACTAAATTATTCAAATTGGTATTTTTAAGAATTAATGATCTATCGATCTAGTTGTATTCTATTGTGAATCAATGAATACTAAATTTTTTAAATCATGGATATTCTAAGAAACGTCCAAGAATCAAGTTGTAATTAGGATCTTACTGTAATCACATTAATTTCTAAAATTAAGTACAAAATAAACAACTTGTACAACTTTTATGAGAATTTTTTTTAATAAAATAGATTTTGAATATACATTCCAACAATAAAATAATTTTGCACGCAGATCCTTAAATTTTTCCTACTTTTTAACCACGCGTTCTAAAAAAAAAAAGAATCATTTTTCATTTCAAATAATATTTTCCTAACAAACAATAAAGGTTGTTTTGAATGAAGTGATTTTTTTCCAATACTATATTCGATTCATTAGATGTAATAGATCCTTAACCATCCATTACTAATCACTTTAAACTTAAGGGAAAGATGAAAATAATTTGTTTATTTTGTATTAATTTAATAACATTAGAGTCAATGGGCTGAAGGCAACCATTTTAGACTGGTGCAGGTACCAATTCGTGTCACACGTCATATAAACATACAAATAAGGCCAAAGAAAAGATGCTATTTTTTAGGTAATAAATGATACTATAAACATCAAATTTTCAAACATTATGTATTAATATATAAGTGTTGGCAGTTTCAAGAAATTAACAGTTTTCTCTTGTTTCTTACATTCTATGCAGAGAAAGATGGCTAGTATATTGCAAGCCAATTGCTTCATGGGAAGGTCTCCATTTTCCCACAAATTTGATCATCATTTCAGAGATTCACTCCCTTTTTCTTTGAGTTTTAAGGTGAACAACTCTGTCTGTTTCCTTTGTCATGTGGCCAAGCTCGATTAGTAAGTTGAACTGGCGTGGCTGCTGGCTTTCTTTCCTCGAAGTGTGAAAAAGGTTAAAATTAATACTATACTAATTCAGACAGGTAAGCCATTGGTAATTGCATAGATTTAGCTAAAAGGCCACTCCCAATTAATTGATTTTTGCCATTAATTTCGGATCCTAAATATGGCTATTGAAAATTAATTTTAACAGCCAATTCCAGAGCAAACTCCTTCACTCAAATCCTGGATTTTTGAACATATACCGACGCAAGCACTTATGGAATCTTCCATATCTTCTAACAACGAATAGAATCACCTCCAATGACTGTGAGCTGGTTTTCAGTAGACGGGCTAAAAGAAGTGTTCATTAAACTGATAGACACCAAGTTATCGGTAGGTGCATTTCCATCTTTATCATAGCATACTGATGCCAAGGAATTCTTGACCCATATTTTGTTGTCAAAAATAGCTGTGACCTCGAGATCAGTTGTGCCAAGAAAGGCCTTGGGAGGGTCTGAAAATGTATCACAGTTGATATTGAACGACGGATTGAGGGAACAACTAACATTTACGCCAATACCAAAAGGGTATGGAACAGTTAGATTCCCCCACGTGCTTTGGCAGCCAGGTTTCGCAGTGATGGTGGCAGTGGCGGTGTTACTATTGTCAGCAAGCAATAGTGGAAGATGTAGCCAAAAGAAAATAAAGACAGTAATATGCAAAACCAAGTTCATTTGCATAATCAGTGGCAAACATTGCTTGCTTAGTCATGTAATTAATGAATTAACTCTTGGTTTTTCTACCTTAAGAAGAATAGATTTGGTTTCTTGTTGAAATTGCAGGGGGTAGAAGAAGTCGGTTTGAACGACAGCCGGCAAAGAGGTTATGAGGTTTAATATAATCGATAAAATCAAATTGTTTCCTTGTCTCTTCGGGGAGTACAAATATAAACTTGTATTACAAGGATTAGATCAGATTTTTCAGTTAACTTGAACTTTTTTTTTAATCGGTAAACGTGAAATGAACTTTTTTTTTAATCGGTAAATGTGAAATTCCATAGGTCAAAATTAATTTACAAGTACACTGGGCATACCCGAAAAATCAGAAGGTAAGTAACCAATACATGTACACCGGACATACCTGGGAGTATCAAATAAAAACAGATGCACTAACATCAGTCTAAAAATCGATTACAAAAGATTCAAATTGAATCAAAACATACGGATACAAGGTGAACATAACTTTGTATACGTGTGTTTTAATTTGTCTTACAATAGATTCAAGTTGCGACTTAATACCTTCAAAAATACATATGTTCCTTGCCATCCAAATGTGGTACACAGTTGTTGCAAGTGCAACACATTTTGCTCTACTTGGACAAGTCTTACCACGGGCTTCCTTTTTCATCCATTTTAAAGAACTCAACAACGTAGACGTGGTGCGTCGAATAGCCAACCAATGTCAGATATGATCCCAAACATCTCTACAAAAAGGGCATGAAAAGAAGAGGTGTTGGGCAGTTTCATCGAAGACTCCCAGACAGATTCGGTCCAAGTCAAGTCAAGATGCGTCAACCTGTCTTTAGTTTCCAATTTTCCCCGAACAACTAACCAAAGGATGAATGAATGTTTAGGAGTGATAGAACATTCCCAAACAGAGGTGTCCAGCCGGTTTTAACTCCTTTCGGTCCGAAGAAATCGTAGGCAGCTTTGGTGCTGAAAATCCCAGAATCTGTCCAGCTACATAATCTGTTAAGTCCAGCTTGTTCGTCGCTATGTGATTCAACAATGCTGTCTCTTATTTCCAGCAGCTTTTTAAGAAGTGGAGAATCATCTTTCTTCACTCTATATTTCCAAATATCCAAACCTCGAAGGTGTACTTCATTTACCCATTTAATCCATAGAGTATCCTTTTTGCTGTGAATGTTCTAAAGTGTTTTGGAAAGGAGAGCAGCATTCCAACTTTTCATATCTCTGAAACCGAGCCCGCCCTCATGCTTTGGAAGGCAAATTTGATTCCAAGCTACCAATGATTTTTTAGACCCCCATAAGAACCTTCGACAAAGACTGATGATCTTAGAAATTATCGTTGCCAGAATGGGAAAAATTGATAACCAAAAACATTCCACTCCTTGTAGAATGATTGGCACAAATTCCGCTCTACCCGCATATGATAATGAAGAAGTCGACCATGTACCAATATAGGAAGAAATTTTATTGGTGAAAGAATCGTATGAACTAACTTTCAATTTTTTCGCCGCAAGTGGGATGCCCAAGTAACGAAATGGCATGGTACCAATTGGGAGATGAGAAAGAGCAAGGATATCCTCCAATTCTTGACCATGCATCCCCACGGTGTAAATACAAGATTTCCCAACATTTATATTGAGACCCGACATGGCACCAAAATTTGAAAGACATTTCATTAAGATATCCACCGACATTACATGCCCTCTAGCAAAAAGCGTCAAATCATCCGCAAAAGCTAAGTGTGTAATCTTAAAGTGTGCACATTTAGGATGAAAATTGAAATCGCTATCCTTTGTACCCTCCTTTACCTTTCTAAAGAAATATTCAAGGCATAAGATAAACAAGTAAGGAGATAACGGGTCACCTTGGCGTAGACCTTTCTTTCCTTTGAGAAAACCATGAAAGACTCCATTAAGAGCAATGGAATAAGATGGAGTTGTCACATACTCCATAATCCAATCAACAAACATGTTGGGGAAACCCAATTCTTCAAGGACTTTAGCAAGAAAATCCCAATTCACCGAGTCATAGGCCTTCCTTAGGTCAATTTTAAGAAGACATCTAGGAGCCACCTCTTGCGATTGTATTGCCTCAAAAGCTCTTGTGCCAAGTGAATATTTTCAATCATGCTCCGTCCTTCCACAACAGCGGTTTGTGCTTGGTCAACAAGCATAGGCTTCAAACGAGAAGCAATGATCTTTGTAATGACTTTATAAAAGACATTACAACAATCAGTGGGCCTATAGTGCCCAACCGATGTAGAGTGATTACCCTTTGGTACTAAAGCAATGATAGTGTGATTGATTTGCTTGAGTAGAGACCTCGATGCAAAAAATTCTTCAATTGCCTCCATGAAATCATTGCCAACAATATCCCATGATTTTTTGAAAAAACAAGATGTGAATTCATCCGAACCCGGTGATTTGTCGTCCCTAATACTAAAAAGAGCATCTTTGATCTCTTGTCTCGTGATGTCCCTGACGAGTAACATAGCATTTTCCTCCGACAACATAGATCCACCTCTTAGAATTTCATCATTAAATTGTCGTCCAACAGTTTTTTTCCCAACAATTCACTATAAAAATGAGTGAATTCCGTTGCCACCTCTTCTTGGGAGGTAGAGTAATTACCATCCCTCTTGATAATAGCTGGAATGAAGTTCCTTTTAGCATTTCTCTTGACCAAAGAGTGGAAATACTTGGTGCATTTATCACTATTCTTCAAATGCATGCACTTTGCTTTTTGGTAATAGATACTCCTTTCCGCTTCACATAGCGTGGTAGCCTCCTTTCTCAATCTAAAAACTTCACACTTTAATTGAAGATTTTGTTGATCATTATGCAATTCAACTTGTGCCAATTCCAACTTTTTTGAAGCAAGGTCGGCTGGAGAGGAAATGTGAGCAAAATGCTTGTTGTTGAGCTTCTTAAGCATCCCTTTAAGACTTTGTAATTTCTTACAAAGAGAGAATTGTTTAGATCCCAAAAAGACTTTATTCCAACCATTTGATACCACTTCATGAAAATCCTCATGGCATGTCCACATGTTGAAAAATTTGAAGGGCCTTTCTTCCTATCAACTTCCCCGAAAATTGAAACAATACAAGGTGAGTGATTGGAGAGGCACCCCAATGGAAGAAAGTTTGCAAAACTGTCATAACTCTCAAGCATCCAAGTTTCATTTATCATGGCTCTATCAAGTTTGCTCCAAACGGAATTATTGTTTCAAGTATAGAAGCATCCAATCGACTGCAAATCCAAAAGTCCAACAATATGGCAATATATATCCAAATCTTAATCTCATACGGCGTGACATCGGCACCATTATTATTCTCATCAAAATTTAGCACATTATTGAAATCCCCTAAGACCAACCATGGTAAGAAGCAATTGAGACCGAATTCCTCAATTTTATTCCATAAAGGCTTGCGAGTCACTATAGTATGGTATGCATAGACAAAACTAACAACGAAGGAACTTGAAGTTACCTTGCGCATGATTGAGCAATGGATGACTTGTGCGGTAGTCTCCAAAACTTCCAATTCAGCCTTCATAGAACTCCACAAAACCAAAATACGATCGGCTTTATGATGCTGAAAGTTGTTTGCAAAGTTGAAACCACCAAATTTATTCCTCATAATTCGGCAAAGTTTCGAATCTTTCAATTTTGTTTCCAAAATACCCATAACATCAGTCTCATGTTGTTTCATGAAACCTCTAAAAACCCTTTTTATTTTTGGGGCAGGTTAAAGCCCCCTATATTCCATGCGCCGATATTCATGATGTTGAAGCAAGGCAGGTACCTTTCTTCTTTTCGGGTTTTTTCACCACATTCCTTACCTCATCAACTTTACCTTTAAGCTTTTCATTGCTTACATTTTTTGAAGTTGTCCCTGTGATTTTGAACATAGGATCAGCCACTACATAGGCCGTATGACATCATGTGCTAGTCGGCAGTTGGGTGGGTTCAATAGAAATTGAATTCCTTTTACGGGTAGCCCCATTTCTTCTGTGAATTAACTCAACAAAGGGGGCGTCCGGCTGGTCCTCAGCTTGGCTAATCTACCCGTCAATAGCACCAGGTTGAGCCTGAGTTTAAATTTAGTTTAGAGGCTGCCTATCCTGCCCATCGGAATCATTTTCCTGTTGATTTGTTGCTGTTTTTTTTTAATTCCCAACTTGACCAATTTTCACCCGAGCAGCCTGTGAAGTGGGTTTAGATGTCTCTCTACTTATGGGCTTGCTATTGTCACCCATAGATTTTTTCTTAAATTGCAACCAATAGATGAATGCCTAAAGACTTTGCAAGAACCATAAAATTTAGGTTCGTGCTCAAAAATAATTTCTTGCTCTCTCAAGATGCCATTTGGAAGTCTAATCTTTACCACCCATACAAGCATGATAGAAGCATCAACTTCAACTAGTGCTCTTGCATAGGAAAGTCTACCCCTACTTTTCGTGACCTTATCGGTCGAAATGGGTTTGCCAACTTTGGAGACAATTTTACCCAAAGCATTCGTATTCCAAAACTCTAAAGGCAATCCCGGCAAGTTGACCCAAACCGGCATAGTGCTAACATTTTTGTCATCAAAATCAAAATAACAGGGCATGACTTTTAACATTAATGGTCTTCCATAAACCAAGTACGGACCACCATGCAACACACTTAGTCTATCCACATCCGTCTCAAATTTGAAAACCAACCACCCGCTTGAGTGCACAAAATATTTATACTCGACCTTCCAAGAATCACACAATTGGAGTAAAGCCACTTTCCCCAAAAACCAACCAGCAAAGTATCCAAGAGACCATACCCCCAAGTATTCTCGATATTATCTTCATCCAATTCTCCCAAAACAACTTCCTCCAAATGATTTTCAAAAGGCTTCAACTTAAAATTTCCTCCATTATCCTATCGTCTTTAAAGAGATCAACCCATGGAGCTTTAGTATCTTTTACAACCTCATTTCTAGTAACATTAGCATTATTTTGTTGCTTCAAATCCACCAAATTCAATTCAAAGTCAGAATTTTCAGATTCCCTATCATTTTCTCCAAGTGTCAAAGATACACTTTGTGAAGGCAAACTCACCTTATTACTCTCCGCAATATTGGACTTCGAAGGGGCAGCAATACCCCAGAACCATCACCTTGCTGGACAGTTTGGGGCTTAAGAGGTGTCAACCCAAAGTAAAGGCTTGCAACATATTTTTTCTTACCCATGAAAAAGCAAAAACCATGGCCTACTGGGACAGAAACAAGCAGCAGAGAACGAAGATGAAATAAGAGCAGCCCAAAATTAACTGAGAACTGATAAAGACCCAACATAAATAGTCCCAACAAGAAGGCCCAGCTGTGAAATAAAAAAGCCCAGGAGAAGATAGGATAGTCCAAAGTCAATTAAATGACTCGACTCCAGAACCAAATAATCAGCAAGAGGTTAAAGAAAACTAGGAATAGAAGATGCGAAATACTGCAAGAAGTCAGAAAGGTCAGAAGACACGGCCAAGGTAACACCAAAACTACAGAAGTCAGCCATCAACCCCAAAAAATACTCCAGCTAATGCAGAAACCAGAGACCAAATTCAAAAATCAACTGACCAGCAGGAATAAATACACAATACATACACAAGAAAACACAAACTCCAACGAAGAACCAAGAACACCCCCGTAGAAATGGCAGCTAAGAAACGAACTGAAGAACAGAATAAAAAACCAGCACAAGCAGAATGCTGGCCTGAAATTGGAGGACCCGGTAGCCAATAAAGAAACCAGAACCAAGGAGAAAAGAATAGTTTGCTACCCAAGAAAACCAAACCAGCTAAGAAAATCGAAGAGAAAGACAAACTGGATGAAAAGGAAGCTAAAGTAATCAATGTTGTAGACCAAAGGTGGAACTAGGAACTCAAACCGGCACAATGTCCAAGAACAAGAATCGTGAACAGTATAACTTATGACCAGAAAGTTACCACCAAAAAACCCGGATATGAGCAAACCAAACTGAAATAAAATATGTTAAATTCAATTTTCACTAAGAAGTAAAAATCAAACCCAACATAAAGAAAAACTCATGAAATCAAGGCACTCAAGTGGGACTTTCTCTCACTAGAATTTGAGAGCATCTCTCTCTAACCTTATTAATTTTTTTTTCGTGGCCCGAAAAATTGGGAGAGTCATGGTAATTTGAATAGCCAATATGAAATTTTGTCAAATCTCATTATATGAACTACATTCAGTCTTGCTAAGGCATTCTCTACTAGCTACGATCACTGTGAAGATTAAGTGGGAAAATATTAGCTTGGACATACCCCACAGCATTTAGACCCTTTTTTAAAGGGGATAGTCTGAAGTTGAATAAAGTCGAGCCTCCTATGGAAACTCTGTAAATTATAACAAGCCATTTACTCTTTGCATAGTCACAGCTAAGAAAAGGAGTAGTAGAGCTCTCAAAAAATAAAAATCAGTGTTAAATATTGTTTTCTTTTCTAAGTTCATATCGATTTAGGAAGATGATATCTCGAAAATCATCTAGTTTTACGTAATTTCACAATTGCACTAAAGTTTGTAATATTCCTCTTTTAAAGTTAGAGGACAAGCTTTGTAGTGCCTGACGACATAAGTAAATTTTACCAAACCTCGTAAATTCTTGGGTTCTCATTTTTCTTATATTCTTGGACTCGGTATTTTTCTTTCTTATTATTATTCCATTAGCAATATTTGACATGCGTTTTTCCGAACAATTGGCATGGTACGATAATTTCGATATGTAGCTGCTTGGTCTTAGGCATGCCAATAAGTTGGAAACTAGAAATTGGTTTGGAAGAAAAGTCAGAGAAGATACTAATGCACACGAAAATCAATCTCAATGCAGTTGGTAAAACTCGTAATTTTTTGTATCTGATAATCAGAAGTATCCGTTATATCTAAGAGAAAGATGTGGAGAGCACTAGAGGAAAATTTAATTGAAAGAGAATTGGAAATCGACTCAATTAGAAAAATAAACTCTTGAACTTCCAATATCAACTAGGTATCACTATTGACATTCATATCACTTCTAATCAGTTAGCTAACTTGTTGAATTTGAATGAAGTATTCTCGAAGATGAGGATAAAACTTTGTTATTGTTGTTGAATTTGAATGAAGCACCTGATGCAGTCATGTGTCAGTCTTTCCCCCTGACCCTCGGGAGAGAAGCCAGAGACTGGGTGGCGACACTTGCCCTCCGATCTATCTGAACATTTGATGATATAGGAACTTTGTGACCTACTTCCTCAGTAGTAAAAAAAAAGAGGAAGACGGTCATCGGGCTGATGCAGGTGGTCCAGGAGAAGGATGAGTCTCTACAAGAGTATCTGGCCAGATTCAGCCGAGCGTACCTTAGAATAGAGGATCTCCAAATGTCAGCAGTGGTGACTGCGTTGATGAACGAAAATGGAACCGGGCCTTCAAGATGTCACTTTTCAAGAAACCCCCAGAGTCAATGCACGACCTATTGAAAAAGGGAGACAAATATGTTGATGTCAAAAAAGTGGAGAAGGTCACAAAATAACTCAGAGAGGGACGGAAAATGGAGAGTCACAAGCGAAAGGCAGGAGACGAGCTGAGATCTGCCAACAAAAATAAGCTGAGGAGTGAGTAGACGGGTAAAGCAAGACCGACAAGTCAGGCAAAAATGGGAGGAGCCCAGGACGTTCACCCCTTTAAACACTCCACGCGCGAAGCTATTGATGGAGATACGAGATATGAAGTAGCTTGACTGGCCGAGGCCCATGGTAACGCCACTCGATAAGAGAAACCAAGGCAGATACTATCATTTTCACAAGGATCACGGCACGATACAAAAGAGTGCCAGCAGCTGAAGGACGAGATCGAGCGCCTCTTGAGACGAGGGCACTTGGGAAAATATGTGAAGGACAACCGGGGTAAACAAAAATTGGAGGACTACTTCTCGCCTAGGGCGGGAGTGATAAACATGATTGCAGAGGGGATAGCAGGAGATGGAGATTCAAACTCGACAAGAAAAAGATACGCGCAATCTCTTGGGATCTGTTCCATCCAAAGGAAAGTGAGGTTTAGTCAGAACATCACTTTTGATGAGGAGGATTTGGTAAGCGTAGCACACCACCATGACGATGACTCGGTGATAGTAGGCGACATAGCTTATTTCGACGTCAAGATAGTGCTGGTTGATGGGGGAAGCGCTGCAAATATACTTACATGGGATGTTTTCTGGGGTTAAAGATCTCCCCTAACAAGTTGAAATTAGTAACCACCCCACTACAGGGCTTTGGAAGGGCCACGGTAATTCCAGAAGGGACCGTGGAACTCCCTGTAACGCTGGGTACATATCCGATCGCTGTGGTAATTGTGGCAAGTTTCTTAGTTATAAAAACTCTCATGGCCTATAATGCGATCTACGATCGGCCATTGCTGAATGCAGCTGGAGCCATTCCCTCGACCTATCACCAGGTCATGAAATTCCCAACCAGCAGGGGAATCGGGTATCTGTGAGGGGACCAGCAAGCATCCAGGAAATGCTATGTCGACAATATATCAGTGAAGGGAATACCATCGGTTATGATGTTGGAGGTCGAACCTCCGAAGGGGGGATCGAACCACTTTACATGATTGAAAGGATCTTCGTATCAGAAGGATGGGAGTTTAGCATCGGGGCCGATTTAGAATCTGAAGAAAAATGAAGTTGGTAAGGTGCCTGGCAAATAACCTAGATGTTTTCACATGGAGCCCGATCCACATTACTGGGATCAGCATAGCCATTGCTCAACATCGCCTTGGCATTCTCCCCGGAGCTAAACCAGTCTAACAGAAAAAGAGGAACCTCGCCCCTGAAAGGTAGTAAGTGGCATAGGCGGAGGTGGAAAAACTACTGTAAGCTAGTTTTATTTGGGAGGTGCAGTACTCTAAGTGGTTGGCCAACATCGTGTTAGTGAAGAAGTCAAATGGGAAATAACGCATGTGTGTAGATTACACCGGGCTTAACAAAGCATACCCAAAGGACTCATACCCACTCTCCTAGATTGACCACCTGGTCGATGTCACGTTAGGTCATGAAAGACTTAGCTACCTGGATGCATTTTTCGGGTACCATCAAATCTCTATGGCTGAGCTCGACCAGGAGAAGATATCATTTATCACAGATTCTGGGACATATTGTTACACGGCCATGCCGTTCAGCCACAAAAATGCAGGGACAACCTACCAAATGATGGTGAAAAGAGTCTTTTGGAAAATCATCAAAAATGACATAGAAGCCTATGTCGACGACATGGTAGTAAAAAGTGCCAAAGCTATAGATCATGTGGCTTGTCTACAGAAAGTATTTGATGTGGCCCGACACAATAACTTGAAGTTCAACCCGGAGAAGTGTGTCTTCGGTACTGTCGGTGGGAAGTTTCTAGGCTTCATGATCACCCAAAGAGGAATTGAGGTAAACCCTGACAAGATACAGGCAATACTAGAAATGAAGAGCCCCACTAGTAAGAAAGAGGTTCAGCGGTTGATAGGGCGCGTGGCGGCTCTCAATCGCTTTATGAGTCGGGCGGCAGATAAGTGTTACCACTTCTTTAAAGCCATAGGGGACTCCATCAATTTCGAGTGGACTCAAAAGTGCAAAGAATCGCTAGAATCCTTAAAGAAGTCACTACAGCAGCCTCCTATTCTGACCAGCCCATGCCCTAGTAACGTATTGTGTCTCTACCTTGCGATGTCGCCACAGGCAGTCAGCGCCATTCTTGCGAAATAACTCCCAAAGGCAAAAAATCAATCTACTACATTAGTAAGGTCCTCAAAAGCGCAGAGACAAGGTACAGTCTGGCCAAACAACTGGTGTTCGCATTGATTGTTGTAGCGAGGAAGCTTAGACCTTACTTTCAATCCTATACGGTGCAAGTACTGACTGACCAACCCATCAAGCAAATCCTATATCAACCAAAAACCTCCGAGAGGCTACAGAAATGGGAGATTGAAATAAGTGAGCTTGACATTGAATTTAGGCTCAGGACGGCCATCAAAGCACAAGGCCTAGTAAACTTTATTGTCGAGCTCACCATTTCGACAGAGCCCCCAGAAGGGCAGAAGGCAGATTGGAAGATCTTTGTAGATGGTTCCTCGAATGCAGAGGGATCATGAGCAAAAATTGTAATGATCGGACCAGACTCTAAAGAATTGGAATATTCGCAGCGCTTCTAGTTCCCTACTACCAATAATGATGCCGAGTATGAGGCAGTCATCACAGGCTTCGATTTGGCAGCAAGGCTGGGAGTGACTTCAGTGGAGATATGTAGTGACTCACAGCTAATTGTAGGGCAGGTATCGGGAGAGTATGAAGAAAAGGATGGGAGGATGGCAGCATACCTAATGAAAGTAAGGGATTTGCAAAGAAGGTTCGCAAGCTTTAAGGTGACAAAGGTCTCGCAGAGAGATAATGAATGCGCAGATGCACTAGCAAAGCTCATATCGCCCAACCCAAAAAACTTACCTCGGACAGCGAGTGTTCAAGTCCTACAACAACCCATCATTCAGCCTGGGCTGAGCTGAAGAATATCGAACACAAAAAAAGTTGGATGGATCTGATAATCAAATATCTAGCAGAAGATAAGGTGTCGGAAGACCTAGAGGAAAGGAGATTGAAAGCTCGAGTAGCTTCATTTACCATCATCGATGGGTAGCTCTACAAGCGAGATTTTACCATGCTATATCTGAAATGCATACGCCCCACCGAAGCCAAAGAGGTACTGTTTGAGGTACATGCCGGAACCTGCGGTAACCACCAAGGGACAACATCCCTTGCCTTCAAAATTCTACGACAAGGCTACTATTGGCCAACTATGAAAGATGATGCCAAAGAGTTGGTTCGAAAATGTGACACATGCCAGTGTCATGGAAATATGATCCATGTCCCAACCGAATAGAAGGCGGCCATATTTGATGTATGCCCATTTTTTCAGTGGGGAATGGACATTCTAGGACCTCTGCCCATGGCCAAATGGCAGAGGAAGTTTTTGTTGGTCACCATCGAATACTTCACCAAATGGGTGGAGGCGAAGCCACTGTCGACCATCACGACATGAAAGATACAAGGCTTTGTATGGAAAAATAAAATATGTTGGTTCGGAGTATCCAGGGTATTGGTGACGGATAATGGCAGGTAGTTTGATAATCATAGTTTCAAGACCTTTGGTACAAGTTATCACATCGATCATAGACTGACCTCAATTGCCCACCCTCAATCGAACGGGCAAGCCAAAGTGATAAATCGAGTCATTCTCTAGGATCTGAAGACCAGATTGGAGAAGGAGAAAGGGTTGTAGGCAGATGAGATGCTTAATGTGCTATGGGCATATCACATGACTCCACGAGAAATGATCGAAGAAACGCCATTCAGACTAACCTTTAGTATGGAAGCAGTAGTCCCAGTTGAGATCCTAAGCGAGATTGGTTGGACGAAAGTCAAGCAGCCGAATAACACTACGACTAGAGAGGAACTCGGCCTGCTTGAGGAGGTGAGAATGCGACGATCAAGATGATGGTCTATAAATGAAGAGCCGATGGGTACTTCAATCAAAGGGTGAAACTAAGAATCTTTTAGCCAGGAGACCTCGTTTTAAGGGATGCAGCAGCAGCAGGACACGAGGGATGCAGCAGCAGCAGGACGCTCCCCGATAAAACTCGGACCAAACTGGGAAGGCCCATATGAAGTAGTCCGCATCCTGGAGAAGGGAGCTTATAGCCTAAAAGACATGAGAGGAAGACCACTGGGTAGACCATAAAACATAGAGCATCTCAAAAGATATTACCAGTAGACTTCAGGATAGATGCACAGGCTATGTTCTTGTAAATAATGTAGAATAGGTTGCATTTTTAATTCCCTCCATGCAACGCCTCACAAAGGCGCCTTTAGTTACAATTATTTATCATGTTTAATGAAAGACCTTGGTAGTGACGGATGATGAGGGCACTAAGGAAGGGCCAGCCTAGCTGGGACATCCCGGTGCGCCTACTGAGCTCACGAATCCAAGTATTTTTTATGCTAACATGCAATCTTGAATCTCCATGCTCATCCCGTGAAGACGTACGATCGACATAGCCCAGACAGCGAGGCGGAGAGTCTTGAAAAGCCAAAAAATTGGCTAAGACCCTTAACTGTCAGACCACCTCCTAACGGTTGACATAGCCACGCGACTAGGTGGAGAGCCTTAAAAAGTCAAAAAATTGGCTAAGGCCCTTAATCGCCAGACCACCTCTTGATGGTCGACATAGCCTACACGGCTAGGCAAAGAGCCTTGAAAAGCTAAAAAAATGGCTAAGGTCCTTAACCACTAGACTCCTCTCACAACGGCCAACTAGTCCACGTGACTAGGCGAAAAGCCTTAAATGGTTAGAATGTTGGCTAAGGTCGTCGACCATTATAATCAAGCCTAGCGTGCGCAGGACGAATGACATTTACCCATGCTATCAAATGATTGAACGTGGAAGACAACACTAAAAAAACAAGTTAAAAGAACGATGTGTTCAACATTAATAACCACTGATAACGTAGCATTAATACAAAAAGCATGTGATGTACTCTTGCCCACACCCCGGACAAGTAGGGAATGATATTACAAGTAGGAAAAAAAAGGCGACACAAAAAAGAGGGAAACTAACAAAAGATGCTACTACTAAGCCATGCTTCAACTCGAAGGGGAAGCACTACCATTGTCGCCCCGTGACGAATGACCAAGCGACCTAGATGGCTGTGCCCCACTCTCCTTCCCCTTGCACTGCGCAAGGAACTTATCAAAACCTGAGGGGTCAATAGAAGGGTGCTTGAACGATATCTACTCCTTGGTTAGTTTGATGGACTCATCCATCACCTTTTCCCCATACGAATGCAAGGCCCTGGCATAATGAGACGATGACTTGTACTACTCCACATATGCCTCTAGGTCCCTAGTATACTCAACAGAGGCCTTATACCTCTCGACCACCTCCTCCGGAGTACGAGCCAACACAGACCGCAGATTGTCATTCTTTGTCTCCTACTCGCGGGCTCGAGCCTCCGACGTTTCGAGAGATTTCTTTAAGAAAGATATCTTCTTCTTGTAATGATGAGCCTCTTTCTTCTTTTCTACTGCAAGAGTCTTCAACTCTAAGGCCTGGCGACGACTCGATTCAGTAAGCCTGGTTTGAAGGGCCACCACCTAAGAATGAGGAGACAATGTGAGAGTCAAGTAGTAAAACCATGCTCAAATAATAAAACTTAGCGTAAAAGAGATGGATTTATAAACATACCCTCTGAGATAAACCGTTGTAGCCCTCTCAATGTCATCTGCGCTACATCCTGCAATCGCCCTGGCCCGAGCTGGTGTCACCAAAGACTTAAGCACCCCCATCTCATGATAGCCCTGGGTAGGAAGAAACTCGAAATTCGGAGGTGAATCTTAGTGCTCGCACTGCATACGACTAGAAGTGCCTAGCCTAGGAGCTGGGACGACCTCGATAGGCTCATCTGAAGGCTGGGGGTCTCTTGTGCCATCTGAGAGCTTCCTCCCTGGATGGCTATCTTCTTCCTGTTTAAAGGGATGGGAGACGGATTAACATCACCATACGCCCCTGCTCCGGCATAGAATCCATGGTTCCCTCTAAATCAAACTCCATCCCTGTGCATGAAAAGTAAGGTCCATTAAGTTTACAAAAAGAAACATGGGAGTATGAAGCAAGAAAGAGGACCTTGAGAGCTCATCGTCAATATGAACAAGGTCCTCGTCGCGACCCGACAGGGTCTTCAATACCTCATCCAAAATCCATATCTACATACATATGCCAAAACACAGTATCCTAGAAAAGCAACAAGAAAAAATATGTGCAAGTAAAAAAACATTGAATTTTTTGGTTTTCGTATGCTTGTATGTTTTGGTGCGTTTGTTTAGTACTACTTAAAAAACAAAAACAAAAAAAAACAACAAATTTTTTTTATTAGGTTGCGTGCTTGTGTGGGTTGGATAGGCTGGCCGGCAATGATGATCTAAATTGAGATTTACTGTTAATATATAAACTGAGGATAGTTTGCATGCTAGATTGATTGAAACTTAAACTTGCAAAACTTGATATTATACGCGCACAAGAATTGAGTTTGACATTGTGATGAAATGAGCTGTTTCATGCTCTTGATAGGTGGATTTAGTTGGACATAAATGCTTTACTCAAACTATACTAAACTAATTATTCTTAGACCAAATATAGCACAGTTTGGGGTGATTTTACTATTGTAGGAAGATACAGATGTGGCTAGGGATTTCTTGTGTGAAAAAAAAATTGTATGGATTGTCTGAGATGAACATGATAAAATTGGGTGAAAATCTTAAGTTGGAGGTCAATTTTCTTGAATAGGTGTATGATAAGGACATTGTACTAATCAAGACATATATTTTAAAATTTAAAATTTCTCTATGAAGCTTTTATGACTCGAGCAATTAAGCCTGCAAGGGTATCTTAAAACATGATTGCCTAAAGTCATCTGATTTGAGAGTTATCGGTCGAAAGCTCGCTATAGGGGTTATTTAGAAAGCAATCAAAGATGAAGTTTCCGTTGAAAAAATAAATAATTGTTCTCTTCGAAACCTTTTTAACTCGGGTTATTAAGCCTATAAGGGTGTTTAAAAACCTAGTGCCCTGAAGTCGTCTGACTTGGAAGTCATCGACCTAAACCTGCTACATGAGTCATCTAGAAAGTTTAAAGGGGAGTTCAAAAAAAATAAAAATAAAAATGCATTAAATACCTTGTTAAGTCCTAACACTAGTTCAAGGGAATTTGACTTTCGATGAAAGATAATTAGCCTACTTGAGTCTTGCAGTCGAAGCAATCAAATAATTGGAAAATCCTCATTCATTGATGTGTTCTTGCAACTAGTGACATCCACCCAAATTGGAGAGGGTGAGAATAGTAATGAAAAACTCAATCTTAGATCACACGCTGGGGAAAGAGTGAAAAAAATAAGTTTGGGAGTATATGAATCTTACGAGAGATGAAAGGATAAATTTGACCATAGAGGGTCGAAAATTGGAACTACTTGTGAAGTCATTAATGTCTACCTAGTTCTTCACCCACACACATACGTCGATTTTACATTAAAAATGGATATTGGTTTGATATTGTGACTTTGAAGCAGTTTGTAAATTTAATACGATGATCTCCATTCCCGATGCAAAAAGCTAGATTATCCAACCAAAATATTTTACATGTTTGTGTGTTTGTTAAATCAAGTTATGATTTTGTTTGAGGACAAACAAATGTTTATATTTGGGGGTGTTTGATAAGTGTATTATACACTTATGTAGACCTAAAAATATAGATATTTAATAGTTCTTTAAAGCAATTATAGTCTAAATTGTTGTATATTTCATTTATTAGGTAAAACTCGATGGTTGGAAGTTAAACTGAAAGAAAGAAGTAAAAAAAGGCGAAAAATAGCGAAGTACAAAGTTGAGGACCAAATTGTAAATATCCAATGGTTGACTTGGACCATAAGAGATATTTTAAAGATTGATGGGAATCAACTGGATGCAATTAGAAGTCAAAAAGGAATGGAATATCATCAGAATATTACCATAAATCGACTTCCAATTACATGATATATTTTTTAGATTTTTAGTCAAGGATTGCGACCAATTTTTGGCATAGTAAACGTCCGAATTGGAAAATATCTATTTTTAGGAAAATTGTAGCCCTTTTAGTTATCTTTCCAATGAATTTTGAATCACTCAATTGGATATCGGGAGACAAAGTTATGATCAAAATACTGACTGATGTGCAGAGATAAAAAAATCCGCGCGCGAGTGTAACTTTCTTTACTCGATTGGAACTCTTTTGGAAACCAATTTGGACATGATTTTTCACCAATTTTCGACCACTACAGATACCTAACAGGAGAATACACAAAGGGGGCTCTCATACTTTTCTCTTATATATAATATACTCCAATATATTCATCAATTATCATCGAAGGAGGAGAGAATTCATTGTTTTTGTGAGAGAATTGAAGGGGACTTACAAGAATTCAATCAAATGAAGATTCAAACTTGATATTGGATAAAGAAGAGAGAACACAAGTGGAGATTTATTAAGAAATCATTGAAGAGATTCAAGATTTCAAGATTTGTCTTCATCTTCTCAAGTTATCAAAAATCCAGGTTATGTCTTTCCACTTATACATGATTTCTTGTAATTTAAATATGTTAGACTAATTTTTCATATTTTCTAGGATGTGATGAACCCTTGTTATGAATTTTTAATTTGAATAATTTAATTGACGTTAATTTGTTTAATTGTTTGGATGTTTATTATCGTTTTCATGTCTTTCAATTAATTGGCCAATAGTTGAATTGTTTGTGAATTTTGTTGTTATCGAGAGAGACAATAGGATCATTAGCACAAAATAATAAATATTGTGAGGTTCGATAGAAGATGGAGATATACCTCTATGCTTCATATGATTTTTATAAGATGTTCTAGCTCGTTTAATGCATTTATCATGTTCGTATCTTTCATCGAGGGATAGGAAGGTCGCATGAGGGGAATATATTTGATAACTATCAAGAGAGGTTTTCAATTAAAATAGGAACATTGACCAACAAGCATGATTTCAAATTGTCAATTTAAATTATCGAACTAAAAATGGAGTAGCAAGGGGATTCCACATCTTAGCAATACTTCTCGCAAATTTGATAAACTTTTACTTGCTTTCTATTTAGTTGATAGATTTAATAGTGTTAGTTACAACTCGACCTTGCTATTCGATTAAGGAAATTATTAGCTTTAACTCAATCAAACACATAGTCCTCGTGGATTCGATACTCTACACAGCACTTTATTAGTTGTTCATGGTCTCGTTCACTTGCGGGTAATCAATCGATCAAGTTTTTGGAGGCATTGCTGGGGACTATTGTTTTTTACTAGTTTTAGTTAATTTTAACTTTAATCTGAATTTTTCTTATTTTTAGTTTAGTTAATTAATTTAGAAAATTTTTACAGTCTTTCCTGCTTTCTTTTTCAAGACTTTGTATGCGAAGTTTAAGAACGGGTGATCTTGCTCAATTTGACCCAGAAATCGAACGAACATTCAACTTTCGAAGAAGACAACAGCTTGAAACACATCAAAAATAGAAAGAGGAAGACATGGCAAACGAAAATCCGAATCAATTAGCCATCGAGGCTAATCTAGGAGTAGCACAACCGAATATTGCTGTAGTCAATGAAAATGCAAGGCTCATGGGAGAATATATGGTTCCACCGGTAGTGGAAAGCCAGTCCAGTATCGTATATCCGACGTTTGGTCAGGCAAAATTCCACCTGTGGACAGATGTCATCAACATGTTCCAAAATGCGCTATAATTTTTTTGGAGAAGCTATAGAGAATCTCAACGCTCATATATCAAGATTTCTGGACATGTGTGCAACAATTGAGTATCCGAGGGTTTCAAGCGAAGCAATTAGACTAAGGCTCTTCCCATACACATTGAGGGATTCAGCAAGGGAATGGTTAGACACTTGCCCAGTCTTTGAAAGAATAAGGGGTTACAGAAAGAAAAATTGAGACTGCTTCCCCTTTCTTTAGATAGAAAATTCCACCGCAGAGCATCACAACATGGAACCAATTGAGTCAGAAATTTCGTAGCAAATATTTCCCACCAAAAAGGATTGCAAGGCTAAGGGACAAGATCACCACTTTTCAGCAAATGGACTCAGAATGCTATTCAGAGGCTTGGGAACGATACAAGGGTTAACTTCGCCAGTGCCCACAACACAGATTGCAGAAATGGCTTCAAGTGCAATACTTTTACATTGGTTTGAACCCGATTAGCAGGGCAAACATAGACTCTGCGTGCGATGGTTCGATCACAAAAAGAACCGCGGACCAGGTCTACCAAATCATGGAGGATTTGGTATTTACCAGTGCACTTTGGCCTACTGAAAGAACGAGGGGAAAGAAAGTTGTTAGGGTATTCGAAGTTGATTCTTTAACAGCACTTTTAGCACAATTGGCATCATTGGCACAAAAGGTAGATCAGATGAGTGTAGCCCAGACAGTGGGACCTAAATGCAAACATTGTGAAGGGAACCACGAGAGTGTTGATTGTAACGTAGGATTTCATTTTGCTCAGACGATAGAAGACGTGAACTATACTCAAAATTTTTAAGGGCAACAACACAATCCAAATCCTAACACATATTACCCAGACTGGAGAAATCACCCAGGTTTTCAATGGAGTAATAATCAGGGAGCTCACATTGCTCCACAGCAGACCGCACCACCCGAATTTCAGCAGAATGAGAAGAAGACTTCGTTAGAAGATCTTGTGACTAAGTTAGCAGAAATGTCCACTCAACATATGCAGAGAACGGATAAGAGCTTGCAAGTTCAGGGTGCTGCCATAAAAAATTTGGAGAATCAAATGGGACAAATAGCTAAAGCACTCTCAGAAAGACAACAAGTAGCATTGTCAAGCAACACTGAGATAAATCCTAAGCAGCAGGTAATGGTAGTAAAAGTTGTAGAGAATGAGGAGGTTGGGACAATCACTACACGCAATGGGATTCAATTTCCAGAAATCACAGTCGAAAGACGAGTAAAAGTAAATGAAAAAGTACCTTCCATAGATGAGGAGCAAGTCGATAAATCTGAACAGCCAGATAAAATAGTTTCACATCAAGAGTTAGAAAATCTACAGGTTAAGACAATCGCCCATATCAAACCTCATTTGCCTCCTGTCCCATTTCCACAGAGATTGCAAAAGATGAAGTTGGAAGAACAGTTTGCAAGGTTCTTGGATATCTTCAAGAAGCTTCATGTTAACATTCCACTAATTGAAGCTATATCTCAAATACCAAACTATGCAAAGTTTCTGAAAGAGATTCTATCCAAAAAGAAAAGGCTTACAGATTTCAAGACCATCAAGTTAAATGAGGAGTGTAGTGCCATATTGCATAATAAATTACCTCCTAAGCTACAAGATCCAGGGAGTCTCAAAATACCTTGCTCAATAGGGAATGATTCAAATTTTAATTATTTATGTGACTCAGGAGCAAATATAAACCTAATGCCCTTCTCTGTATATAGGGAATTAGGATTGGAAGAGCTAAATGATACATCTATCTCCCTTCAATTAGCAGACAGATCAATCAAATACCCGGGAGAAGTGGTTGAGAACGTGCTCATTAAAGTAGGAAAATTTATATTCTCCATTGATTTTGTTGTCCTAGATATAGAGGAGCCATAGAATGCAGCGTTACTTATCTTGAGCAGATCCTTCCTATCAACAAGCCGAGCTGTCATGGACTTTGAAAGTGGCGAACTAACATTGAGAGTGGAAGATAAACAAGAGAATTTTAAGATCTAAAACACTATCGAGAATCCAATACATAGAGAGATCAATAAAAAAAAACTAAGGAGGATTCCAATTATATTACTGCAAAGGTGCAACAAGGCTTGAAGGAGACAAAGCCTAAAAATTTAGGAAGCCTTGGACGAGAGAGGAACGGAGGGTTAAAGGTTTGGAAGGCAAAACGAGGATGCAAAGCCGAAAATTGCAAGGAGTGCAAAAACTCAAGATACATGTTTAACCCACCTTGATCAATTTCTCCGTACAGCTTAGCTAAAGACTATAAATTAAGTGCTTATTGGGAGGCAACCCAATCTTCTAACGCTTTTATTTATTTTGCTTTCTGCCTCGCATAGCATATAGATTTATTTTGATTATTTGGTTGCATTAGATTTAGGCACTTTTTAATTTGTAGGGTATAACCATCCTTAAATACTCCACTTAGGCCATTGAATTTATTGTCGGTATTTTGATTGTTTGGGCTAAGTAACACATGTTCTAGGTTATTTGATTTTTAATGTTTGATTTAACTGCTATGTTAGGAACATAACGTCGTGGAACGCTCAAACCAACACAGACCAAAGGAGAAATATGATGATAGAGATTTTCGAGTCGTCATCCATATTGCCTCACATATTCAATAGAAAACTTTGGGGAGTATTTTCTTCCTTTTCTTCCTCATTCCCTTATACTCTTACTTTTACTTTATGACATTGAGGACAATGTCGGGTTCAAGTTTGGAGGTGAAAAAAAAATATTGAATTTTTTGGTTTTCTTATGCTTGTGTGTTTTGGTGCGTTTGTTTAGTACTACTTAAAAAACAAAAAAAAACAAAAAACAACAAATTTTTTTATTAGGTTGCGTGCTTGTGTGGGTTGGATAGCCTAGCCAGCAATGATGATCTAAATTGAGATTTAGTATTAATATATAAACTGTGGATAGTTTGCATGCTAGATTGATTGAAATTTAAACTTGCAGAACTTGATATTATACGCGCACAAGAATTGAGTTTGACATTGTGATGAAATGAGTTGTTTCATGCTCTTGATAGGCGGATTTAGTTGGACATAAATGCTTTACTCAAACTATACTAAACTAATTATTCTGAGACCAAATATAGCACAGTTTGGGATGATTTTACTATTGTAGAAAGATACTGATGTGGCTAGGGATTTCTTGTGTGAAAAAAAAAATTGTATGGATTGTCTGAGATGAACATGATAAAATTGGGTGAAAGTCTTAAGTTGGAGGTCAGTTTTCTTGAATAGGTGTATGATAAGGGACATTGTACTAATCAAGACATATATTTTAAAATTTAAAATTTCTCTTTGAAGCCTTTATGACTCGAGCAATTAAGCCTACAAGGGTATCTTAAAACTTGATTACCTAAAGTCATCTGATTTGGAAGTCATCGGTCTAAAGCTCGCTATAGGGGTTATTTAGAAAGCACTCAAAGATGAAGTTGCCATTGAAAAAATAAATAATTGTTCTCTTGAAAGCCTTTTTAACTCAGGTTATTAAGCCTATAAGGATGTTTCAAAACCTAGTGCCCTGAAGTCGTCTGACTTGGAAGTCATCGACCTAAAGCCTGCTACATGAGTCATCTAGAAAGCTTAAAGGGGAGTTCAAAAAAAATAAAAATAAAAATAAAAATGCATTAAATACCTTGTTAAGTCCTAACACTAGTTCGAGGGAATTTGATTTTCGATGAAAGATAATTAGCCTACTTGAGTCTTGCAGTCAAAGCAATCAAATAATTGGAGAATGCTTATTCATTAATGTGTTGACTTGCAACTAGTGACATCCACCCAAATTGGAGAGGGTGAGAATAGTAACAAAAAACTCAATCTTAGATCACACGCTGGGAAAAGAGTGAAAAAAATAAGTTTGGGGGTATATGAATCTTACGAGAGATGAAAGAATAAATTTGACCGTAGAGGGTCGAAAATTGGAGCAACTTGTGAAGTCATTAATGTCTACCTAGTTCTTCACACACACACACATACGTCGATTTTGCATTAAAAAAATGGATATTGGTTTGATATTGTGACTTTGAAGCAGTTTGTAAATTTAATACGGTGATCTCCATTCCCGATGTAAAAAGCTAGATTATCCAACCAAAATATTTTACATGTTTGTGTGTTTGTTAAATTAAGTTATGATTTTGTTTGAAGACAAACAAATGTTTATATTTGGGGGTGTTTGATAAGTGTATTATACACTTATGTAGACCTAAAAATATAGATATTTAATAGTTCTTTAAAGCAATTATAGCCTAAATTGTGTATATTTCATTTATTAGATAAAACTCGATGGTTGGAAGTTAAACGGCAAGAAAGAAGTAAAAAAAGGCGAAAAATAGCGAAGTACAAAGTTGAGGACCAAATTGTAAATATCCAATGGTTGACTTGGACAATAAGAGATATTTTAAAGATTGATGGGAGTCAACTGGATGCAATTAGAAGTCAAAAAGGAATGGAATATCATCAGAATATTACCATAAATCGACTTCCAATTACATGATATATTTTTTAGATTTTTAGTCAAGGATTACGACCAATTTTTGGCAGAGTAAACGTCCGAATTGGAAAATATCTATTTCTAGGAAAATTGTAGCCCTTTTAGTTATCTTTCCAACGAATTTTGAATCACTCAATTGGATATCGGGAGACAAAGTTATGATCAAAATACTGACTGATGTGCAGAGACAAAAAAATCCGCGCACGAGTGTAACTTTCTTTATTCGATTGGAAATCTTTTGGAAACCAATTTGGACATGATTTTTCACCAATTTTCAACCACTACAGATACCTAACAGGAGAATACACAAAGGGGGCTCTCATACTTTTCTCTTATATATAATATACTCCAATATATTCATCAATTATCATCATCAAAGGAGGAGAGAATTCATTGTTTTTGTGAGAGAATTGAAGGGGACTTGCAAGAATTCAATCAAGTGAAGATTCAAACTTGGTATTAGATATAGAAGAGAGAACGCAAGTGGAGATTTATTAAGAAATCATTGAAGAGATTCAAGATTTCAAGATTTGTCATCATCTTCTCAATTTATTAAAAATCCAGGTTGTCTTTCCACTTATATATGATTTTTTGTAATTTAAATATGTTAGACTAATTTTTCATATTTCTAGGATGTGATGAACACTTGTTATGAATTTTTAATTTGAATAATTTAATTGACGTTAATTTGTTCAATTGTTTGGATGTTTATTATCATTTTCATGCTTTTCAATTAATTGGCTACTAGTTGAATTGTTTGTGGATTTTGTTATTATCGAGAGAGATAATAGGATCATTAGCACAAAATAATAAATATTGTGAGGCTCGATAGAGAATAGATATATACATCTATCCTTCATATGGTTTTATAAGATGTTCTATCTCGTTTAATACATTTGTCACGTTCACATCTTTCATCAAGGGATAGGAAGGTCACATGAGAGGAATATATTTGATAACTATCGAGAGAGGTTTGTTGGCCTACGGTTGACTTTTCGTTTTGATTATAACAAACATATTTTATTAACAATTGTGTTTAAGTGATTATAGAAGTTTACGACAAGCGGAGCTCTTGCAAGTTTGGACAAAGTGGAAATCAAGCTACATATCAAGACTACGATCACTTCAAGAAGAAATTAGAAGAAAATATATTTAGACACCTTGATTTCAAATGTTAAGGTAAAATACTTTAGTATTTGGCATATACGTCATTTGAAGCTCAAGCAACGTTTCTTCGCACGACAAACACGATTTTTGCATAAAGAAAAGCACGAACCTATTACATACTTTTAGACATGTCAAAAAGTCCGTAAAAAATGTTAGAAACATCCTTTATGAATTTTCATTTTGCTACATTATTTAAAGAAGGAAAAATCCAAAAATATGCTGATCTAGAGGACGCATCCGGTAGCTCTAGCGGACGAGTCCGGTAATTCTAGCGGACGTCCGGTATGACAGGTTTGTCCAACGGTCAAGAAACCGAACGTTCTGACTTCTGAACAAAAAACGGTTAGTTGACCGTCCGGTACGATAGCAGACGTCCGATAGCTTCGTCCGGTAGAACAGAACTTTTGGCCGTTTTTGTTGCTATAAACACTAGATCACTTTGCATTCAATATGAGACTTTATATGAGCATTTAAAGTGAGATATCACTAATCTATCACCTATATACATCTATTTCTTCAATCTATTTATTAGAAAAACATTTGATTGATCCAACTTTTGAAAATCATTCTTATCAAAGTGTTTTTCTTTTCTAACACTTGAGCTTCAATCATTGCTATCTACTAAAGTGTTAGCTATCTTCTCTTGTTGTATTCAACTTCAATTATATCATTTATTGCAAGAGAAGTCTTCACTTGTATTCTCCTTATCTTTCAAATTTGTGGGTCGAGTTGAAGTCCCGAAAATTTCAACATTGTAAAGGAACGATACTCCTTATTTGTAAGTCACCGAAAGCGTTGTAAGAAGGTTGGATTGCACCATAAGTCAATCAATATAGTGAAAAATGCCTTGCTCGTGACGAAGAGCATGGTAACGGGGGACGCAGATCGTGATTGGATTGAACCTCCTTATTACATCGTTTGCACTCTCTTTTCCCTTCCTCTTATTACTTTTGTGTTATCTTGTTTATTAATAGTTATTTGTTTAAATTTGCGCTTATTTTCGAAAAAGGATCGAAAAACCAATTCACCCCCCTTTTGGTTACTTGTTCTTGGGCTTTCAAGGTTTTCAATTAAAATAGGAATATTGACCAACAAGCGTGATTTCAAATTATCAATTTAAATTGTCGAAATAAAAATGGAGTAGCAAGGGGGATTCCACATCTTAGCAATACTTCTCGCAAATTTGATAAACTTTTACTTGCTTTCTATTT